TGAGACGCAGAAGCAAAGTAGTATCAAAGACAATACCATGTCCTCAAAGACTCCAAGATCAGTTTATAATTAGTTATTAATCTGACAGATTTTTATACATTTTCAAGATATATTTAGGTTGAAAATCCATTTTTAAAAATTAGCTTATTTCCTGGTTCTTAAAGTGTAGACCTTAAATTCCAGAAGACTGATACATATACATATATATATATATATATATATATATATATATATATGTTGTGTGTGTTTGTTCTGTTTAGAGATGATGTGTTGATGTGTTGCCTTGGCTGGACTTGGAACCAGGCTCAAGCGATCCTCCCACCTCAGTCTCCCAAGTAACTGGGCCTATAGGCACAAGCCTTGGCACCTGGCTTAGGAAACTGATAGACTTTTTATCTGAGTTTTACAGGGACAATTCTATTGCTACAAACACTGTATAATTTGATGTAAAAGAGCTCCATTTAACATGTGATGGCCCAGTTACTTCAAGGCATCTTTATTGAAACAAAAGAATTAGGCTAATCCCTGCATATTACTAACTTAATAGTGTTAAATGAAATTTATAGGAGGTTACTAGTTTGGACTGAGCTCCTGAACTAGGGCCAACAGATCCAGTCAAAATGGAGTCACTCATGCTGAAGTTCCACTTCACCAAGCGAAAACTAAGCTAAACAGCTATCTGATCTTTCAAGCAATCAGGAGAGACAGAGTTAGTAGTCAAATCCCAAACATGCCAGTTGATATAACATGATGATTTGATAAGACGACATAAGGAAGTCCCATCTGCTTTAAACTTAATAAGAAAAGTAACTTTAAATGACCAGTTTGCTTTTTCTTTTCTGTTTCTGCTTTCCTCAGCCCTTTTCGGTCTATACAGTAGTACCCCCTTAGCCACAGATTCATTTCCCAAGGTTTCAGTTATCTGAGGTCAACTGTGGTCTGAAAATATTAAAAGGAAAATTCCAGAAACAATTCAAGTTTCAAACTGTACCCTGTTCTGAGTAGCATGATGAAATCTCATACCATCCTGCTCTATAGTGTATATAGGATTTGGTACTATCCACCATTTCAGGCTTCCACTGGGGATCTTAGAGCATATCCCCCCAAGACTGGGTAAGGTAGCTCACACCTACAATCCGAGCACTTCAGTAGGCCAAGGTGGGTGGATCACTTGAGATCAGGAGTTCAAGACCAGCCCAGGAAACATGGTGAAAGCCCATCTCTACCAAAATCACAAAAATTAGCCAGGCATGGTGGGAGGCACCTGCAGTCCCAGCTACTCAGGAGGCTGAGACAGGAGAATTGCTTGAACCCAGGAGGCGGAGTTTGCAGGAAGCTGAGATCACACCACTGCACTCTAACCTGGACAAGAGAGCAAGACTCTGTCTCAAAAAAAGACAAACAAACAAACAAAAAAAACCAAAATCTCCTCAAGATAAGGTGAGACTACCATAAAATGAACCACTTCTTGACTCATCAGAACTGTTCTATTTTATTAGAATGAGGTGTTGCCTGATTCTAGAATGGCAAATAAAGGTGAAGTAATATGTTTAAGCAAAATTTGTTGTAATTTTGTCTTTTGACATTACAAAGTATTAAACATATGAGTCATTTCCATTGTAATTTCACAAATGGCCAAGTAAAGCCACACTTGATAACAACATTTTGGGGCTTAAAAAGAAAATCTTGAACCTAAGCCAGCAACTAAAGATAATTCAGAAAAAAGATTAATCAAATGAAGGTGTTCAAGTTAAATACAGCAGCAGATGAAACAGGTACTCTGAAATTCTGGACTACATGGCTTTCTCTACAACTGAAACTAACAAACATTATTTGAGTGCAATCAAACAAAAACAAAACTACATTTGAGAAAAAATGACTAGGTTGGTCCAAAAGAACTAAGAAGAAAATACACATGAAATCAAAGTTGGCAGTTTATGGGTGAAATTTTTAACCCCCTGGTATAGTCAAGGTGATGTAAACAGTTTATTCAAAACAAAGTCACTTGCATTTATTACTACTAATCTCTGCTTTGACAAAAATTATTTATTTTCTGTGAGGCTCATCTGTGCACTTCCTTTTAAAATCCAGGATTAGCAAAGAACCCTGCTAAGTCTATTTAGCATAACGTCCTAAATGTCTAATCATGTTAGATATTTGATCAGGTTCCTCATCCTCCACCATTCCACAGATAATGTATGATAACCCTGTCCTGTCTTCAGCAAGAATCCTGTTAGGTTGGCTTAGCCAAAATCCCCCTCACCCCTGATATTTCCGTTTAGTAATTTTCCATCCACGGATCCCCACATTGCTCCTTGGCTATAAATTCCCGTTTTCCCATGCTGTGTTCGAAGTTGAACCCAGTCTCTCTCCCCTACTGCAGGGCCCCACTGCAGAGGTTCCTGTACCTATTGAGATGGTCCTGAACAAAGTCTTACTTACCATTCTTAAACAAGTATCACTGAATAATTATTTTTCTTTAAAAACTTGGATTTGAATTTTATTGTCTTCTAACCAACTCCCACCCTTCTCCCCACCAAACCTACTGCTCTCATAAACCTAATCTCAGTATACAAATACCTCATCTTTCTACTTGTTCAGAACTAAATTTTGGTGTATTTTACATCTCTACCTTCAATTTATCCTGAAATCGATGAACTCTTATCACCTCCACCAATTCCACTCTGGTCCAAGCTACAATATCTCTGGCCTGGAATATGGCCACAGTTCTGGACCAGTATCCCAGCTTCTTCTCCTGCTCAACACTTCCCCTACAACAAAGTCTATTCTCCATCCAGCCACCAGAATGATCATTCTTAAAAGGCAAGCCCGGGGCCGAGTACAGTGGCTCACGCCTGTAATTCCAGAATGTTGATGCGCCAAGGTGAATGGATAGCTCGAGTCCAGGAGTTTGAGACCAGCCTGGGCAACATGACAAAACCCCATCTTTATAAAATACAAAAAAGTAGCCGGGTATGGTGGGTGGTGTGTGCCTGAAGTCCCAGCTAATCCACAGGCTGAGGTGAGAAGATCACCTGAGCCTGGGAGGTCGAGGCTGCAGTAGGTTGTGATCATGCCACTGCACTCCAGACTGGGAGACAAAGTAACAGCCTGTCTCAAAAATAAAATAAAAGGTAAGGTTCTTTACTCAAAGGGAGAACTTTTCACTGAGAGTAGAAATTCAATCCTTAAAAAGGCCTACAAGGCTTTATACACTCTAATCTCCCACCACACTAACCTCTTTGACTTTATTTCTTCTCCTCTTTGCTTTCTTCACCACAGCCAAATCAGCTGCTCTGCTGTCCTTAAACATGCCCAGCACAAAGGGCTTCTGCAAGCCCTTCTGCCTTCCCCTACGCTAGCACATCCTTCCCTCAGAGAGGTGCATGGATTACCCCTCACTTACTTTTGGTCTTGGCTCAAATGTCATCTTCTCTAGGAAGCTTTCCCTGGCTGCCTCTAGTTCAAATTGCAAACCTCTCCCCATTCCCTGTCCTCCCTCTTCCCTGCTTTTTCTCTGTAGTACTTAACACCATCTGACACAGCACATATTTTGTTTATTATCTGAGGTCCCCACTAGAATATAAGCTCCATGAAGGAGGGGATAGTTATGTTTTCTTAGAAAAGTATCTCACACGCAGTAGGTGCTCAATAAATATTTATTAAATATATAATTTTATAGTTATGAAGAATTTTCATAATTTACATGAAAGTACTTTATGAAGTACTTTCACGTAAATTAAATTACAACAATTCATTTTTCCCAAAGCCCTCTCTTCTCCAAATTCTCCAGTCTTTGTAGTAACAATATGGATGACAGCAAAGAGCTTCCAGAAAAGGAGTTGTTGGCTACTTACAAAGCTCTTTAAAACAGATACCCCATATTAATCAACTACATCTATAAATTGAAAGCTTAAAGTCAACATCTTTTAGCATAGGGTTTCTAGGTGTTGAATTTAAAAGCAGTATCGCAGAAGTGCCAAGAATCATCAGGAAGAAAAGTCTAATTCAGTTTGTCCTATCAATCTGTTAAACAAACAATAGGGAAAATGCAACTTGCATTTGATCTTCAAAGAAACACTGGCCAAAATTCAGTAAGTACGCATTCAACACAAGATTCGACTCCCTTAAAATGTTCCACCTGCTTAAAACAAATCCCCATTAACTATCTACTGCTGTCGCTGGGTGTGTATGGTCTGCTGAGCGTATCAGAGATGTTTTGCTATGTTTTGTTTAACCAGATAAGAATCAGGGTTAAGGAAACGTTTCTTAAAGCCTCTGTATCCCCTGGACCATTAAGTAAGCCCTTCGTTGGTCTTTACACTGTGGTACTAGGGTCTTCCTGGGCAATATCCCACATAGTTTAACCCATCAGAGGCGAAGGGGCATCTTGGTCAGGCTCCAGTGATGCCTGAGACAGACGGCAGATGTCTCAAGGGATCCTCTGGAAGGAGAGGCTCTCGCCCAGTCAAAGGGTGTCACAGACAGAAGGAAAGAGCGGACCAAGGCGCACGGTGTAGATGACAGGTGGGCAAGCACCGCAGGGCAGTAGCGCTGAGAGTCACCGGCTGGGTGCTGGCGCGGAAACCGTCAACTCCCATCGTCAACCTGCCAGCTTGGGCCCAGCTGGGCTGCGGAGTGCAGCGGCACAGGATTAAAAAAATAAAATAAAGGTAGCCACACACCGCCGTCAGCCTGCACGACCTCGCCCCCCGCGCGCTGGGAAATAAAGTTAGTGCCCAGGGGCCGCTGCAATGGCCAGAGAGACCCAGCCAAGCTCCTGCCCTCGGCTCTGCGGCCGTCAAAAGCGGCGCGGCGCCGCGAGGAGAAGTCCCAGAGCCCAGAAGCCAGAGAGGACGCCCCGAGCTGGCGCGTCAGGCCGAGTGCTCTCGCGCCCTTGACTGCCACCAGCCCCAAACCGCCTCCCCTCCGGGCCACACAGAGGGGCCGGGACCCGGAACCCTCTGCTGGCAGCGTCGGTGCCCGGCGGCCGCCTTTACCTGTTCTGCAGCAGCTGCCGCCGCCGCTCACTCCCCGTGCCCGGGAGAATCCCGAGTCGACGCCGCTGCCGACGCTGCTGCCACCGCCGCCGCGCACTCCCCACCCCCGCCCGCTCAGGTAACCCAGGAAACCGAGAACACCACCCCCTCCTTCCCCTCGTCCAGACCCAAACCCACCCGTCTGCGCCTGCGCGCTTGGCTCCGCCTCGCGCGTGCAAGCCACGCCTCCTCTAGGAAGGCAGCGCCGGCGTCGCAGGCGTGACGCGTGCAGACGTCGAGCCAATAGGGAAGGCAGGAGGGCTGGCCGACCCGCTGGGCCGCGGCCGGGGCCGCGTCTGGGTTCCTCGTGTGCTGGGGTTGGACCCTGCGTCCGCACCTCGTCCTAGGGCTCTGCGTAGTGAGCTGCGTCAGGCCCGGGGGAGAGCAAGCACCGTTTGAGAAGCACCAAGCACCAGCGCAGCGTCTGCTTCTTCCATTCATCGCAGACTATCAACCTGTCCCGTGGTGTAGGTCTAGAGGATGAGAATAGAAGAAATATCGGGAAGGACGCAGGAGAGGTAGAAAGTATTACCCACAAGGAACCCTTAGCCTTTCTCTGGGACCTGGAAAAAGCCATAATGTAATGGTTACCGTCGGCTTCTTTTAAGAAACAAAAAGCTTTGCAAAGCCACTGTAGAATTAATTCAGTGCAGTGGTGTATTTTCCAAGCGACTCCTGTTCACACGGTTTGTATACACTGCGCACTGTCAGAGTCACATGCCCTAATAGACCAGTCCGTCCAGAGGGTGGGAGCTGTAGGTTAAATCCAGGGATGTTTCCGCTGCATCCGTGGTTCCCGGCCCAGCACGCGGCGGGCAGACTGCTGCAGTAGGCAGTTTGGCATTTCAAGGGCCGCCCTCCTCACCTCGTAATCACTGAGACAGCAACGCCAGAGGTACTGGGAAAAAGGCTGAACTGTATATAGTTTGTATCGTTCGGTAGTTCTCAAGTTCTATCAAACAATACAAACTCTTAATAAGCAGATCATCTACAAAGTGACAGGAATTGCTGTAGAATCAACAACTCCCATGATTTTTCGCACAGGAATTATGAAATAGAAATAATTCAGAATATTATGTCTCAAGCCTATATACCAAATGTTACTCTCAATTCCTCAAACTCCCTTCTGACCCTAATGACAAAGTGCTTCAAGTTGCCCACTGATGTGGTTTCGAGGGGCTCTCGGGGAAAATTCCGCGCTTTAAAGTTCATATATCTAGGCGAAGATTGCCCACTTCCTCTAGTAGGCAGTCTTTTTTTATTTAATTTTGATTTTTTTTTTTTTTTAGACGGATTCTCACTCTATCGCCCAGGCTTGAGTGCAGTGGCGGGATCTCGGCTCACTGAACCCTAACAAGAGCGGGAAGTAGATGCTTCAGGTAAATCATCACTCATTTAACTTGTATATAATGAGCACCTACAGTGTGCTAAGTATTGTGCTAGGTGCATGTGCCTGAACTGAAACAAAAAGAGGAAGCCAAACTTGACCTGCTTCATAATTTTACCTAAAGCCGTGTCTACTCTTATTTATACATCAACTTTTACCCACTAATCTTAAACACACCTCCTTTTTTTAATGAACAAAATAAGTCAAAGAAATACTTAAGTAACAAGCCAGTTTCTGTTAACCTTGAGTAGAAGATAATAGATTATCATGATTTCATTAAAGCAAAGAAAATGACACAAACTTTAAATGACAATGGTATACAATTGGCCCTCAAAGTATTATTTGTTTGTGAAAGGCACAAAGTAATGTCATTTGTGACTATTATTTTTTCTGTACCAGTATTTTTTATGATTTTATTTTTGAGACAGAGCTTTACTCTTTTTTCTCTGACTGGAATGCAGGTGGCATGATCTGGGTTCACTGCAACCTCTGCCTCCTGGGTTCAAGTGATTCTCCTGCCTCAGCCTCCTGAGTAGCTGGGATTACAGAAATGTGCCACCACGCCTGGCTAATTTTGTAATTTTTAATAGAACCAGAGTTTCATCATGTTGGTCAAGCTGGTGTCGAACTCCTGACCTCAGGTAATCCACCCACCTCGGCCTCCCAAAGTGCTGAGATTACAGGCATGAGCCATCGCACCCAGCGTCAGTACCAGCATTTTAAGCTATTGCAGTATGCATTTTATTGAATAGTATCTTAGAACATAAATACTAAATATACATATTAAATAAAACTTATAGATTTCAAAGGAACACACCCAAACTGTGTAGTGAAGAACATGCAAAAGAAGAAAAAAAGTAGAGAAAAAGTAGTAAGTATACAGAAGAAAGCTCTACTTATGCCTATATCACACACTGGAAAACTTTTTAAGCAGGAAAGTCTCCAGCTTAATTTGCCTCCAAAATTATACTCTTAAATGAGATTATAACATCCCAGCTTAAAACAACACAGTCAATGTAAATGTGCATAATTTCACATTTAATTATTCCCCAAAATACCTTTAAAAAGTGTTCTTGACTAAATGGATATATAAATCAAATCATATCACATCTCTGCTCAAAAATCTGCATTGGCTCTCCACTTCTCTCAGATAAAAACCAAAGTCCTTACAATGGCCTACTACTTCGCACCATCTGGCTCCTCATAACTTCATCTCTTTCTGCTCTCCCTGCTTCTTTACTGTTTAGCAAACATGCCAGACACAGTCCTGCTTTAAGGGCTTTGCACTGGCTGGCCCCTCTGCTTGAAATTTGTTTTCTCCAGATAGCTGTAGTTGTAACTCCCTTATCTCCTCCATGTCTTTGCTCAAATTTCACCTCTCAATGGGGTCTACCCTCAATACTGCCCTTAAACTAGGCAAGAGGGGCCTCTGCCCTGAACCCCACACACTGAATGGACCTCATATCACAAATGTTCCCTAAAATAATTTTATTAAAAAACATATATGTTCTCTGTCCCTTCTGGAAGAAGGGTGTTGATGAGAGTTAACACAGTTGTTAGATCAAGTTTAACCTAAAGCTGCCTCCCTGCATATTTTAAAGGGTTTTCTGTGCATCCTGAGCTATAACAAATGAAGGTGTCAATAAGCTGTAGCCCACACCTGTACCCATCCCTGAGTTTTGGCCAATAAAATGCAGCCAGCTGTTCAAACTGTGTTCTAATAAGGCAAATGCCAAGCTGCAAACAGTCCAGTTGTTTCTGTATCTCACTTCTGTTTTCTGTATGTCACTTTCCTTTTTCTGTCCATAAATCTTCTTCCACCATGTGGCTGTGCTGGAGTCTCTAAGCCTACCCTGGCTCAAAAGGCTATCCAATTCATGAACCATTCATTGCTCAATTAAACTCCTTTAAATGTAATTTGGCTGAAGTTTTACTTTTATCACAGTGTAACCTGTAGCTCTAAACATCATGTGTTTCATAGCCCCCATCAGCTTCTAGCATACTACATAATTTGTCTATTTCTTATGCTTATTTTTATTGTCACTCCCGTTTAGACTATGGGCTCCACAAGGGCATCAATGTTTGTTCTATTTCTGATGTATCCCAGGGACCAGGACACTGCCTGGCTCTTAGTAGGCACTCAGTAAATATTTGGATAAATAAATTAAGAAAGTTTTGTTGAAAATTCAAATAAATATCCAAACAGTAAGTTGACCATAATTTTGGACCTGGACAATTTTAATGATTACCACAATGCACAGGAACAGAAATGGATTTGTGAAGTGGGAGAGAAATGTAAGACTGTGTTTTCAGCAATAGCAAGATGGTCAAAATTATACAGATGGCTAAAATTATGCATTTGACTAAAGACCTGCATCAAAAAATTATAGATATACAAATCTTATTTTGAAGTGCTTTACTTTATTAGGATGCATATGCAGCATCTTTTAAAATTGTGCTTCTTAGCACAATTTTTAAAAATTTTCTCATGGTGGCTCACACCTGGAGTCCCAGCACTTTGGGAGGCTGAAGTGGGCGGATCATGAGGTCAGGAGTTCAAGACCAGCATGGCCAACATGTTGAAATCCCATCTCTACTAAAATACAAAAATTAGCAGGGCATGGTGGTGGGCCCCTGTAATCTCAGCTGCTAGGGAGGCTGAGGCAGGAGAACAGGAGAATCGCCTGAGCCCAGGAGGCAGCAGCTGCAGTGAGCCGAGATCGTGCCATTGCACTCCAGCTTGGGCAACAGAGCAAGACTTCATCTCACAAAAAAAAATTGTGCTTCTTAGTAGCCACCTTAAAACTTTATTGAAGAGGTCAATTTCTAATTAATGTCTTCAGTAAGTTGTTAGCAACATCCACTTAATTTTGTAAAAGTTGTCAGATTTGGTTTTAGTATAATTCTTTCATGTAATTTTCTCTACTAAATCACTGATAGCATATGAAATCCCCAAAAGCCAGAGGCATCCTAACTAGAGCAACTCCATCCTGAATAAAGGCTGAATAAAGCCAAACCTACTGTGTCATATTCCCAAGGGGCTGGGCACTCTTGGTCACGAGATGTTTATGGTTGAGGGAATGAGTTAATGATGCTAGTAACTAACTAAAGACCCAGAATTTATGGCAATGTCCTAGTGCTTTAAGAACAAAAAGCATTCTTAGTTTACGACTAGGTTTTGCTTTAAAGATAATATAATACACTTATAAATTCTTGCTGAAATCAATAGTAACATGGGAAAATGAGTACTAATAGCATATCACAAGCTGATCACAAGCCTTTGTAATAAAGTACACTATCCTTAACCTATATAAGCAAGCACTACATTTAAGGTAGTGAGTTCTTCCTTTTGCTTTCTGAGGACACCCTACTCTGTAATTGAGTAGTCTCTAATAAACTGTCTTAACTTCACCATACTCTGCAGCTTGCCCTAAATTCTTTCCTGTGCAAGATCCAAGAATCCGTTCTTAGGGCCTGGGACAAGACCCCTTTTCCAGTGACAGTATGTATACTTCACTCAAAAACTCTCATGTCCTTGGAGATTTATAAATGTAGGGGAGGAAAAGTTTCCTTAACCCTCCTAAGGTTCCTGGCTGGCTCTAAAATAAAACTAACAAAGACAGATTAACAGGAGAAAACATACAAATTTATTTAATCAAAGTTTTATGTAACATGGGCCAAGCACAGTGGTTCACGCCTGTAATCCCAGCAATTTGGGAGGCCGAGGCAGGCGGATCACTTGAAGTCAGGAGATCAAGACCAGCCTGGCCAATGTGGCAAAACCTAGTCTCTACTAAAAATACAAAAATTAGCCAGGCATGGTGGCACGCACCCGTAATCCCAGCTACTTGGGAGGCTGAGGCAGGAGAATTGCTTGAACCTGGGAGGCAGAGGTTGCAGTGAGCTGAGATCCCACCACTGCACTCCAGCCTGGGTGACAGAGCAAGACTCTGTCTCAAAAAGCTAAAAGAAAGTTGGGAAGAAAGAGAATAAAATTTCTGGTTTATGACTTGCTTTGTAAGGAAGGAGTTCTACTTTCTATGGCTTTCCTTAGTTTCCATGGCCTGTCTTGAAGGAGAGAGGAGCAGGAGAAAGGAGGGGGAGAGAAGGGGAGACAGATCTTGCTTCTGAGGCCCTCTCGGTTTCCTGCAGTCCGTTCAAAGTACTCAGCATGCCAAGGCACCAAATTTTGGGGAAATGTGTTGAGTGCCGACATAAACATCAAAAACTATTTCATGAGATGACCTTTCCAACCAACTGAAAGTGTTAAAACAATGGAAATTTCCCCTCTTTCCTGTGGAAACCTGTTTCCTTTCATATGTAGGAAAGACTGTACTTGTGAGCAACAGTGTCATTAATTCTCACACGAGGCTTTTTTTTTCCATTGAAAAATTCTGACCTGTTTTTCTGCTTACAATAGAAAATATATACTATAGTAATAAACTCAAATACTAGACAAATATACAATATACAATGTAGAAAATGGAAGTATTCCATGATCTCATCCTAGAGATAATCATTACCAATTGATGTACATGCCCACAGACGTTTTAGTAGTCACACACACAAAAACACAATGTTGTGATTATTATTGTGTTATTATTACTGTCACCACCACTATCATTGAAAAAAGAGGAATTTGGGTCCATTGTTGAGTGTAATTCTTAGCCAAGTGATTTACTTGGCATTACTTATTTTAATAGCCAATATTTATCTAACTTAAGTCCCAGTATATTCCTGTGGTCAACGAATTTCTGATTAACTTTCATTTGAAACCACACTACCGGTTTATTTTGGAAGAGCAAACTAAGTCTGTCCTACACAGTAGTCAGGCTAAGAAGTACAAGGAAATCAAGAAACATTATCATTTGAAATACAGGTTTCCTATTCATTCCTGTTTATAAAGCCAAGAGCCCAGGTTATCTGAGCAGATTAAAAATTACAAGGACTCACCAAACCTCATGGTCACTAATTCGGAAGGAAATAGAAAAC